TATTCGGGCCTTTCAGAACAAACTAGACCGGAGTTTCTTCTATCTGATAGAAACCCCAAGATTACCTACCAAGTAGCGGGTTTCTGAATGGCGATACTCAGGTGACAGAACTTTTATGGAAGTTAGATATTGGGTAGTTACGGTCATATTGGGTAGTTACGGTCAATGTTCCCTCTAAGTTGTGTAGTCTTGTAAGCAAAAATTCTCCTTTGTGAGCTGCTGGCATTAAAGTTGTGAGGGGGCAATTTGGCTCCTGCATAAATTAGTTTGCTCTGGAGCCCTCCTTCCTGAGCTGAGACAAAACTGTGTGAGCCGGAGGCTAAAAAATGGTGAGCTAGCTCACACTCACTCAGCTTAGAGGGAACCACTGGTTGTAAAACCTCTATTTTTCTTCTTAAAGATGAAGCCTGCTGTTGAGTGACAACCAGTGTTCCCTCTAAGATGAGTTAGTGTGAGCTAGCACTCAGTTTTTTAGCCTCCAACTCACAGATTTTTGACTTCGCTCAGGAAGGATGGCTCCACAGCAAACTGACTTATGCAGTAGCCAAATCGCTGGCTCACAGCTTTCATGCCAGGAGCTCACAAAGTAGCATTTTTGCTCACAGGACTCCACAGCTTCGAGGGATCCTTGGCATGGCAAGCCCATGAAATTCCATCTTGTGGGCTTTTCAGGGCCAAGAGACCAGCAGAGGTAGGTTTGCCATTGCCTTCCTCTGCAAAGCATCTTCTTGTTATGGGTTTTTTAAAAAAAAACCAGCAGTGGGGAACCATCCCCTTCCCTACAAATTCATGATGCTGCAAGGTCCTAGCCCCCTCCCCCTTGCAAGAAAAAAGCCAGAGCATGAGATCAGGCACCCCAAGCAAGGCAGACACGTTGACGGCTGGCCAGGGAAAAACCCAGGCAATCAGCTTGGACACAGTGAACATAAGAGACGCCAATGTTGGATCAGGCCAAAGGCCCATCCAGTCCAACACTCTGTGTCACACAGTGGCCAAAAATACCAGGTGCCCTCAGGAGGTCCATCAGTGGGGCCAGGACATTAGAAGCCCTCCCACTGTTGCCCCCCACCCCAAGCACCAAGAAGAGCATCCCTTGCCCCGGAGTCCCTGTTATGTCCGTGGACCGCCACTAGGGGTCTGCAGCACAGGCAGGAGCTTGACAATAGGAATACAGGATCCTAGTTCCCCCAGCACCAACCAATAGCCACTTTGGCAGGACATTCAAACCCTCCAATGGGACTAGGGGGTGCTAGGTGGGTATGTATATAGTTGGCCTTCTCGGGCGGTTAGTTAGTCTCGTGTTAAGTACAATAAACGTGTGCAACTCATGTCGTCGTCCGAGTCCTCCATGCGGCGAACCCAGTACTTTTCAGTCCCTATCTATACCTTGTGGCTAAGAGCCACTGATGGACCTCTGCTCCATATGCTTATCTAATTCCCTCTTGAAGCTGTCCATGCTTGTGGCCGCCGCCACCTCCTGTGGCAGTGAATTCCATGTGTGAATCACTCTTTGGGTGAAGAAGGACTTCCTTGGATCTGTTCTAACCCGACTGCTCAGCCATTTCACGGAGTGCCCAGTGGGGCGGGCCCAGGAGAGGGATGCGTCTCCCCACATCACCAATGACCAGGTGGGAACTGAGCCACCACGTCTCAGCTCCCACCCCAAGCAGCTATTTGGGTGGCCTGGTTCACAAGATGGCCCCTGAATGTAAGGTCAGTGTTTGGCAGTGTTCTCTCTAAGCCGAGTTAGTGTGAGCTAGCTCACAGTTTTTTAGCCTCTGGCTCGGATGTTTTTCTCTTAGCTCGGGAAGGAGGGCTCCAGAGGCAACCTCATTTATGCAAGAGCCAAATCGCTCGCTCACAACTTTAATGCCAGTCGCTCACGGAGTAGAATTTTTGCTCACAAGACCCCACAGCTTAGAGAGAGCATTTACAGCTCCCTCCGCCCATTACAAGGAAAGGCCGTAAAACTATATTTAATTCTCCATTGGCTGGAAGAGTCCTCGCCAGTCTATTTCTGGGTCTTGGTTTCCTCATTTTGATTTCCGTGATTTTTAAAAATTTATTTCTGTTTCCCCAGAGGTTTTTATGTACGTCGTCTTGTCCTGTTCCTTTCGGTGGGGGACTTTTAAAAAATAGATTAGATAAGCTGAAGACACGCAGCATAGACTCAAGTGGCTGAATTCAGAAGCCTGGCTCCAGTTCATTTTGTAAACACAGGTGTTTCGACTAGAAAAATCTATGCAGTTGGCTTCTCTCGCACCCAGGGCCGAGAGAAAAGGCAGGGGTGGTTGACCGCCTAGCTTGCACCCTGCCGTGAAAGGGCAGGAGCCAAATTTAACAGAAAAGAATCATTCGTAGCTGAAGGGAAAAGGAAAGAGGATGTTGGGAATGACTAAAGGAGGAGCACTGCGTTTCCCTCCCCCCTCCTCCCGGGAATCACACCGGATAACCTTCTTCGCCCCCACTGCTTCCTGGAGGGAAGACACATGGAGGGCAGGAAGGAACAGAGGAAGCCTGCTCCCCCCTCCCCATTTCAAATGCCTGCCTCCCCTCCCCCCCAGGCCATCTTAGGAAGGCCAGGCAGGTCAAAGGGAGGGGCGGCCATCCCTGCTGGCCCCTTATTCACACCTCTCTAGGGCTGCAGTTAGCTCAGAGGTCACTAATGGCTGACCCCCACAGTGCCAGGAGATGGAGGCTACGGGTTTCTCCAAGAGGGTTATGGCCTTGGCAGCAGCAGGGAACATGAGATCAGACCAGTGAGGATCTGTCTGCTGGATCAGACCAGTGAGGGTCCGTCTAGTCCAGCCTCCTGTTTCACACAGTGGCCAGCCAGTTCCTCTGGAGGGCCAACAACAGGGCACAGAGGCCGAGGTCTTCAAAAGAACATCAGAAGAGCCCTGCTGGATCAGACCAGTGAGGGTCCGTCTAGTCCATCCTCCTGTTTCACACAGTGGCCAGCCAGTTCCTCTGGAGGGCCAACATACTGTGTGCAATTCTGGTCACCACACCTTAAAAAGGATATTATAGCTTTGGAAAAAGTGCAGAAAAGGGCGACTCGAATGATAAAAGGGTTGGAACACTTTCCCTATGAGGAAAGGTTAAGGCGCTTAGGGCTCTTTAGCTTGGAGAAACGACGGCTGAGGGGTGACATGATTGAGGTTTATAAGATTATGCATGGGAAAGAGCAGGTAGAGAAAGAGGTACTTTTCTCCCTTTCTCACAATACAAGAACTCGTGGGCACTCCGTGAAATTGCTGAGCGGTCGGGTTAGAATGGATAAAAGGAAGTACTTCTTCCCCCAAAGAGTGATGAACACTTGGAATTCACTGCCACAGGAAGTGGTGGCGGCTACAAGCATGGACGGCTTCAAAAGGGAATTAGATAAGCATGTGGAGCAGAGGTCCATCAGTGGCTATTAGCCACAAGGTATAGATAGGGGCTCTGGGGCAAGTGATGCTCTGTCTTCTTGGTGCTTGGGGGGGGGGGGTCAACAACAGTGGGATGGCTTCTAATGTCCTGGCCCCACTGCTGAGCCTTCTGATGGCACTGGTATTTCTGGCCACTGTGGGATACAGAGTGTTGGACTGGATGGGCCTTTGGCCTGATCCAACATTGGCATCTCTTATGTTCGAAGAGCCCTGCTGGGTCAGACCAGCAGTCACAGAACCACAGAGTTGGAAGGGACCTCCAGGGTCATCTAGCCCAACCCACTGCACAATGCAGGAAATTCACAAATACCTCCCCCCCCCCCAGTGACCCCTGCTCCATTCCCAGAAGATGACAAAAAACCCCAACAAAAACAAAAAAAAACCCTCTAGGATCCTCGGCCAAACTAGCCTGGAGAAAAATTGCTTCCTGACGCCAAAGTGGCGATCAGCATTTCCCTGGGCGTAAGCATTGAGGTGACCCTTCCTGCCCTTCCCTCTCAAGATCTGCCTGAGTTCACTGGTCTATCTAGCCCCGCATCCTGTCTCACACAGTGGCCAGCCAGTCCCTCTGGAGGGCCAACAACAGGGCACTGTGGCCGAGGCCTTCCCCTGAGAAGAACCTCAGAAGAGCCCTGCTGGGTCAGACCAGTGAGGGTCCCTCTAGTCCAGCATCCCGTCTCACACAGGGGCCAACCAGTCCCTCTGGAGGGCCAACAACAGGGCAGAGAGGCCTTCATAAGTATATAAGAGCCCTCTTGGATCAGACCAGTGGGGGTCCATCTAGTCCAGCCTCCTGCCTCACACAGGGGCCAACCAGTTCCTCTGGAGGGCCAACAGCAGGGCAGAGAGGCCGAGGCCTTCCCCTGATAAGAACATCGGAAGAGTCCTACTGGATCAGACCAGTGAGGGTCCAACTAGTCCAGCATCCCGTCTCACACAGTAGCCAAACCGAAGTAGTAACAAAAATTCAACTTCATTCGCCCATGGAAAGGCTTTTCTAGAAACTGTTTCTACTATTAGACAATCCTGAGATCCATGAAATTGTTGATGATGAATCAGTTGAAATGAAAGAACATTCCGGAGATGAAGGAGAGATTGGATTTCTACCCCGCCCTTCACTACCCAAAGGAGTCTCAGAGCAGCTTACAAACTCCTTTCCCTTCCCCTCTTCATTCATGAAGATCACCGTCTTCATTTGCAGTTGATATGTTATGCAAATATTGTACACTCTTTTGTATGAAATCTTTTTGGTTAATATTTCAAATTCATTAGCGCAAACTCCTGCACAGTTTTTTTTGTTACTACTTCGGTCTGTTCAGGGACTGTGGCTTTAGACATCACACAGTGGCCAACCAGTTCCTTTGGAGGGCCAACAGCCGGGCAGAGAGTCTGAGGCCTTCCCCTGATGTTGCCTCCTGGCTCTGGGATTCAGAGGGTGACTGCCTCTGAAGACTCTCTTTCTTTCGTCACTATGGCTAGTAGCCACTGACAGACCTCTCCCCCACGAATCTGTCTGGCCTTCTTGTGCTCCTGAGGAAGAAGCTAGAGAGATACCACCAACTTAGGGCAATAACCAGATTTTAATAGATTTAACAAACATCTTTAAAACGCAGACACTTCGGTAGGGCTGGAGGCTTCCCAAGTCCTGGGGGAACGGGGCCGTTCTGCCCACCACAAATCAGTCCAGTGCAGCCAGTGTCCAGGCAAAGCCCGGCGGCGGGAGGAGAGGCCAGAAGGTGTGTGTGTGGAAAAACGTGCTCCGCAGAGTCCCTGCGAGTTGCCGGATCCGTTTTTTCTCCCCAAGCGTCAAGACCGGCTGCTCTCTGCTGGTGCGTCAGAGGTACTGCAGGGAGGCCAAGCTCTCCAACTCGACTTCGATGGAGACGATGTGATGTCCGGGAACCATGGCCAGTCCCAGGACGCGGGGCTCTCCTGCGGAGAAGGAGTCTGCAGAGGAAGAGGAGCAGAAGGGAAGAGGAGGCGTTCCTTACCAGCCCACCTTTTCTCCAGGGGACCCAGAGACGCTGTCATGGGGAAGGGCCGTAGCATCTGTTCAGCATGCAGGAGGCCCCAGGTTCAGTCCCCGGCATCTGCAGTCGAAAGGGCCAGGCAGGAGGTGATGGGAAAGACCTCTCTGCCTGAGACCCTGGAGAGCTGTAAAGAGGGGCCGTGGCTCAGTGGTAGAGCCTCTGCTTGGCATGCAGGAGGCCCCAGGTTCAATCCCCAGCATCTCCAGTTAAAAAAGACCAGGCAGGAGGTGATGTGAAAGACCTCTGCCTGAGACCCTGGAGAGCTGTAAAGAGGGGCTGTGGCTCAGTTGTAGAGCCTCTACTTGGCATGCAGAATGTCCCAGGTTCAATCCCCGGCATCTCCAGTTAAAAGGACCCGGCAGGAGGTGATGGGAAAGACCGCTGTGCCTGAGACCCTGGAGAGCTGTAAAGAGGGGCCATGGCTCAGTGGCAGAGCCTCTGCTTGGCATGCAGAAGGCCCCAGGTTCAGTGCCTGGCATCTGCAGTCGAAAGGGCCAGGCAGGAGGTGATGGGAAAGACCTCTGTGCCTGAGACCCTGGAGAGTCACTGCCAGTCTGAGCAGACAAGACTGATACCTCTTCAGGTATCCATAAGCAAAAGAACCTCCTCAGGAACGCTCCTCCATTAGCATGTCCACAGCCTGGGGAACGCCTACAAGATAATGACTCAGCCCGACCCCACCTTCCGGAGTAGATATAAATTACCTGCCTACAACTTTTCTTCTCACCTTGACACAGAGAGTACTCCATCTTTCTGTGTCATGCCTCTGAGAATGCCAGTCACAGCTGCTGGCGAAACGTCAGGAACTACAACGCCAAGACCACGGCCATACAACCTGGAAAATCTGCAACAGCTAATACTGACTTTGATGGACCAGGTTTAGTGTAGTGGTGAAGTGCGCGGACTCTAATGTGGGAGAACCGGGTTTGATTCCTCACTCCTCCACTGGCAGCTGCTGGATGACCTTGGGCAAGCCGTAGCTCTGTCAGAGCTGTTCTCGAAAAAGAGCAGTTTCTGTCAGAGCTCTCTCAGCCCCACCCACCTCACATGGTGTCTGTTGTTGGGAGGGGAAGGGAAAGGAGTTTGTCAGCCACTCTGAGACTCCCTTGGGTAGTGAAGGGCAGGGTATAAATCCAATCTCTTCTTCTTCTTCAGATGTCTGATTCAGTATAAGGCAGTTTCACGTATTCATCCAACTACACCCTTCACCTCTCCAGAAGGACTAGAAATGCCCAACTTCCACACACCCCATCCCTCTCAAAAGAAGAAGAGATTGGATTTATATCCCGCCCTTCACTCTGAAAGAACTTATGACTTTTCCCCTTCCCCTCCCCACAACAGATAGACACCCTGTGAGGTGGGTGGGGCTGAGAGAGCTCTGACAGAAACTGCTCTTTTTCGAGAACAGCTCTGACGGAACTCTGGCTTGCCCAAGGTCACCCAGCAGGTGCAAGTGGAGGAGTGGGGAATCCAACCCGGTTCTCCCGGATTAGAGTCCGCGCACTTCACCACGACACCAAACTGGCTCTCCTTCCCAGCTCTGGAACGAGGCTGCCTTTAACCACGGTGCAAGTGCGGAGAGAGCATCCCGTGGCAGGACTTCCCACTTGTTTGTGCAGGCAGCAGTGTGGCTTTGACAAGATGGTCAGGCAAGTGCCAAGCCCCTGGGGTAGTCCTTGCTTTCCAGGCAGTGCTGGTGTCACATTTAAATCACTCCTACCCGTGGCAAACCGGGGGGGGGGGGCGCTCACCTGTGGGTTTCAGGTACTCTTGGGCTGAGCCCAGGATGACGTTGCAGTCTCGGTCGGTGCACAAGAAGCAGCCCACCAGGGTGCGCCCGTCCGTCATGCGGATGCGCATGCTCTTGTTGAGCAGGTTCTCCAGCTTGCATCGGGAGCGCTGGTACGATGACTCGCCCTTCTCCTCCCCGGATTCCTGGCAAAAACATCCAGCCGGTTAGTCTGGGCCACAGTGGGATTTTAGGATTTCGTTTATTGCTCACATTTTTGTCCCGCACCTCAGCATGGCAATCTCCCTGCCTCCGTTTCACCTTCACAACAACCCTCTGAGGTGGACTACGATGAGAGAGAACAATAGGTCCGAGGTCACCTGATGTGTTTGATGGTGAGCGGCAATTGGAACACAGGCCTAATCCGACACTCTGACCACTGTGTTCTGCTGCCTCCCTCACTCCCACACAGGAGTCTTCTTTGTTTTTGTCTTGCAAGCTTCGCTTGCACTTTCAAAAGCGACCAAGTTTCTTCCCCCCCCCCTTTATATATATTTTATTTAATCTTTTAAGGAATACATAATAATCATAATACAACCTTAAAAGCACAATAAGTGAAGGGTATGAAAGAACATACAAGTAAGTCTATTGCATCACACTTCATCTAACTCATTACACCATATCTAAAACCACAACTGTATATCTCGTTTCTTAATCTGCCCCGCAATCCATGGACCTTGGAGGTGCCGAACTTAATGTAAAGAAGGCTGTGGATAAGAGTTAATTACAGAAATATCCACCTGTGATAGTAAGTGTTTTTGGGGAGTACTTCATATTTTGTCATGTCATTTATCACTGGTCCCCAAAATCATGCGAATCTATTAGTGTTAGGTGCTTGAGACGGCTGACTTAGGTCTGCAATTTTCACCATAACAAAAAGCGACCAAGTTTCTAGTCTTCAATTGAGTGACCACCAACTGGGATGAGGATACGACCGATTCAAGGGAATTCCTCCCTTGGACAGACTCCAGAAAGAGGTGCGGCTTCTTCACATTGGCTCTCATGGAGGACCCCATTCGCCGAATGTGCACCGAGAACTTGCTCAGAACTTGCTACTCTGGTGAGCGGGGTGTGGGTGTGGTGTCTCGGGTCTAGAAGGGTCTTTCCCAGCACCTGTTACCTGTCGGATTTTATGTGGAGATGCCAGGAATCGAACTCAGGATCCCCTGCAGATAAAGAGTGAGCGCTAGTGCAGTGTTCCCTCTAAGCTGAGTCAGTGTGAGTTAGCTCAGTTTTTTAGTCTCCAGCTCACACCTTTTTGTCTGAGCTCAGGAAGGAGGGCTCCAGAGCCAACTAATTTATGCAGCAGCCCAATCGCTCACTCCCACCTTTAATGTCAGTAGCTCACACAGTAGAATTTTTGGTCACAGGACTCCACAGCATAGAGGGAGTATTAGAGCCTGGCTTCTCCCCAAAGTTAGGTATTTAATTACGTCCAAATTCCTTCGGGAAGCTGATTTTTGGCGGAGGGGGAGCGAGATATAACCAGCATGCAACTGCTCCCATTGCATCTGGTGAGTGACATAGGATTCAAGAACACGGAAACAGGAAGGGGCATTTAATCTGGGAGAACTGCACAGCAAAAGGGGGTCCCCCGGCCTCTGTGCGCACAGCGGACGACTCCTTCGCACGCTTTCCCACAGACTGAATAGTGCACTTTCAGTCCTTTTACTTGGGAGATCGACAAGTAGATACTTTGCCATTTCACACTGCAAATCCGAGTTGCAATATGCATCGAAAGTGCATGATGGTGTCAAAGTGCAAGGATTCCTGGGGTGGCAGGCTGGCTGTGTCATTCTAGCGCAGGCTCCTCCTCATCCGTCCTCCTCGCCCCGACGCAGGGGGGGGGGTCCCCCCTCAACGCTGTGGAGTCCTGTGAGCAAATATTCTACTTTGTGAGCTACTGGCATTAAAGTTGTGAGCGAGCGATTGGGCTGCTGCACAGATCAGTTCGCGCTGGAGCCCCATCCTTCCTGAGGGAAGACCAAAATGTGTGAGCCGGGGGGCTAAACAACTGTGAGCTAGCTTACATTCACTCAGCTTAGAGGGAACACTGTTCTGGAGCCACATCCTTCTCGAGCTAAGACGAAAAAATGGGTGAGCCGGAGGATAAAGAACGGTGAGCTAGCTCACACTAAACTCAGCTTAGAGGGAACACTGGTCCCCCCCCCTCCATTCTGCACTCTCTCTCAGCCCCCCACCCCACCCCCCAATGCCCCAAAGGGGGAGAGCAGGACGAGCCTACCTTGCGGGGTGGTTGTTCAGGGCGTCGGGAAGAGGAGGCGAGGGGGGCGCTCGGGACCCTGGAAGGGCTGCCCCGGCGCTAGGCACGCACCTCTGCAGGGGACCGCCGCCGCCGCCTCCCCCCTTTCTCTACCCCCAAACTTGCTTTGACGACCCTCCCCAATTCCCCCGCCCTCCCCCCGGAGTCCTCGCCCGCCCTCTGCGGGGGCTGAGCCTCTCTCTCCGCCTTACCCCCGAGCTGGGGCTGTTCTCGCAGCCGTTCTCCTCCCCCCTCTGCGGTGGCGGCGGCAGCTGCTCGGGAACGGCCGGCGCCGCCATCTTCGCCCCCTTCCTCCTCCTCCTCCTCCGCCTGCCGACCGGAGACTACAATCCCCAGAAGGCCTCGCGCGCGCCCCTCAGAGGCCGGAGCAGGGGAGCTCCCAGCAGCCTCTGCGCGGCGGCGGCTCTTCCGCCCTGCCCAGACTCCGTTTCCCGTGAGGCGTTGCGGCGGCGGGGTTGCCATGGCAGCGGAGAACGCGGCCTGAGCCGCCGTCGCCCCCGCGGATGGAGCTCTTCCGGCCCCGCTACTACAGCCCGAAGGAGGTGTCGGTGCACAACCGGCCCGGGGACCTCTGGGTGTCCTACTTGGGGCGGGTCTACGACCTCACCCCGCTGGCGAAGGAACACAAGGGTAGTGCCCCCCCGCGCGCCCTCCCCCCCTTGGGTCCCTCCCCCAGGGCCTGGGGGGTTGCTAACAACCTGGAAGCCCCCAAAGCCCTGCCCCCTGGAATATTGATTTGCTTTAATCATATTCCACCTTTCTCCCCCAGCGGGGGGCCTAAAGCGGCTTGCACGGTTCCCGTTGTCCTCCCTTTTACCCTCACAACAACCCTGTGAGGTAGGCGAGACTGAGAGAGGGTTGCCAGCTGCGGATTGGGAAAATGCCTGGAGATTATTATTTTTTGGGGGGGGGGAGTAGAGCCTGAGGAGGGCGGGGTTTGGGGCAGAAGGCCATAGAATCCAGCTTCCAAAGCGGCCCTTGTCTCCAGGTGAACTGATCTCTGTTGCCCAGAGATGATCCGTTGTAATAGAGGGAGGGCTCCAGGTCCCACCTGGAGGTTGAAGCCGAAAATGAGAGATCACGGGAGGAAGTGGGACTCCAGAAACAACATCCGTGACAAAAATAACGAAGAGTCAAGAAAGATAAGTTGCAAATACATTTACTGTAATAATAGTCCTTTGGAAATTTTTCTTCTGTTTATCGCCCACACGCTAACGAATACTGCGCAATGCATGTACTGTGAAATGAATGTTTACATTGCGCAGTATTTGTTAGCGTGTGGGCGATAAACAGAGGAAAATTTCCCCAAAGGATTACTACAGTAAATGTATTTGCAACTTATCTTTATTGACTCTTCGTTATTTATTGTCACGGATGTTGTTTTTTGGAGTTCCGCCACCTGGAGGTTGGCAACTCTAGACTGCGTGTGTGTGTGTGTGTGACTTGCCCAAGGTCACCCAGAAAGCTTCCAGGCCAGAAGTAGGGATTAGTTGTCTTGAAAATTTAACCACTATGCCCCGCTGGCTTAGCATGTGTAAATGGGCAGCTGGAGTTTTTTTAGGGCAGGGAGGAAAACAACATCACCTGGTAACTAACATCCGATTAAGACTCCTTTAGGGGGCAGGTGTTTCTTTTAGGTTGTTGGCAGTCCACAGCAGCACCCAGCACCTGACCTTTTCCAGTACGAGGGGCAGCTAACTGCACAGTAGGAGACGGAAATTCTTCTTCCCTCTTGCATCCCATCCCCAAACCCGCCAGTTGTTGGAAATGTATGTGTTTACAAGGTCTGACAATTCAGTCATTATAGGGTTAACTTGCCTAGTATTGCTATTGTTTAGACCGACCTGGAAGGGATACCTGGCACTGAGCCAATGGGGAATTAGCCCGGGAAAAGTAGCTTTCTACTTTGATACAGATTGGTCATTTGTTTCAGGTGACTTCCTTTCTAGGGGTCAAGAAGGAGAGATTCTCCATTATCTGTGTGCTAGTGTTGACTATAGGCAGCTTAGAAAATGTAGCTGTTAGAGTTCTCTTTTTTTGTAGTAATCCCGTGTACCTTTTACCCTTAGAAATAAAGGTTTTTAAAAGCAAAGAAATCTCTTCTTTCCAATAGAGCAAGATCCATTGATAGTCTGAGTATTAAACAGGTTTGACTATTTTACAACACCAATGACCCCCGCTACTGTTCAAAATGCAATGGGGGCTAACATTTCCCCCTCCCAGCCAAATGGTTTCTGCATTGCCAGCATAGATCATGCTCCCCACCAGTGTTCTTGGGCGCGTGCGTGTTTCAATGCCTTTTATGAATTCCCCTTAGGAAGCAGATTTCCCTCTCTCCCCATCCTGTATTGCCTTCGTCCTCCTCAACATTGATGTTGGGGGTTCTTAATGCACAAAATGAAACGGCCCTTTGGAGGAAGGACCTTTTGCCTTCAGTGGCCTGAGTCCCAACCAGTGGGTAATTTAGCCTTTAAAAAAAAGAGTCTTGTGGCACTGTAAAGATGCATTGGAAGAAATGGGGTGCCAGTCCGTGGATCTTTGTACCACAACATCTCTTTAAGGCACCACAAGTTTTTTGTTGCGTAATGTGCCCCCCCCCCCCCCCGGGAATTTGTTGACTTGGGTTTGTTTTTCTCTCTGCCTGTCCAGGTGATCTCTTGCTGAAGCCTATCCTAGAAGCAGCAGGGAAAGACATCAGCCATTGGTTCAACCCCAAGACCAAGGATGTAAGTCCCCACATTTTAGTAGAGTCTTGGAGGAAAACACACTGCCAGCCAACAGGTAGTTCACACCTAGGCATCTTTACTTGGAAATAAGTCCCTCTGAATGCAGTGGGGCTTACACGCCTAAGGAAGTATGCACAGGATTGTAGTCACAGTTGTTTAAGGGCTGTAATGGAGCATTAATGCTTAACCCCATGGACTTATGTCCAAGTGGCAGTTGTTGGGAAAGGCTGAGACCCCGGAGAGCTGCCACCAGTCAGAGGAGGCACGACTGAGCTCAGGGTCATATTTAAATGCCTGTGCTTTGTTTCAGCTCTTTTTGAGATTTGTGTTTGTTTTAGATTTCTGTAGTCCAAACCCTGTTGTACTGTTCATTGGCTGTCCAATCCCATTGACTGTGTTTTGACTTTCACTATGTAATTCACCTTGAGTCTCAGCAAAAAGAGCAGAGTATTAACAACTAAATAAATAAATATGGCCTTCATAATTATGAACAGTTAAATAGCCTTGAAAATACTGTGAATTACCATTCTCTAATGCTGTACTTTGACATGAAAATCTTCACGCTGCGCATCTTGAGGAAGTAAAACCTCATCCTTAAAAAAAGCATTTTACTCTTTCCAATATCCTCAATTTCTCCAAGCCTTCACATCTCTAGATTCTATAAACAACAACTGTGAGTCCAGGTTTGCTAGCTTCACGATTTGACAAATACTGCTCTGATACACTCCAAAAGGGTATTGTAGCATTGGGAAAAGTGCAGAAAGGGGCAACTGGAATGATAAAAGGGTTGGAACACTTTCCCTATGAAGAAAGGTTAAAGCACTTGGGGCTCTTTCGCTTGGAGAAACGACGACTGAGGGGTGACCTGATCGAGGTTTATAAGATTATGCATGAGTTAGAGCAGTGACCTGATCCAACATTGGCTTCTCTTATGTTCTTAGGTTCTCTAACTATTTTTTTGTAAATGTTGTATTCTTTAATGCCATATTCGATGAATATTGCTTGTTATTTGAGACCTGTCCTGCCCGCATCATTTTGGGTGATCTTCAAGTCAGGAAGTGGTGTTCTGTCCCACCACAGACTTTTTATCGTTCTTTGGTTCCTGCTTGGCACCATGACAAATTCCTGGACAGCTTCTTCCCCGAGTTTTGATGCAGCAAAGGGAAAGACACCAAGGTGCTGAATGAAGAGGCATGCTTGTTTCTCTTCCTGCAAATCCCTGAATGAGGCTTTTCGTTTTAATCCAGCATCACACCGTTGGGCCGTGTGCAGTTGGTCGTGCACCGTGAGCCCTGTTGTTGCAATCCCTCTTATCTGAGAATGGAAACTGAGACTCCCCATCTGTCACCTTGTCCTTTCCAGATCCAGACGCACATCGATCCCCTAACATGCTGCCTCAAGTACTACACCCCCCAGGGTCGCTTTATACACATCCCACCCCCTCTGCCTCGCTCGGACTGGGCCAATGACTTTGGCAGGCCCTGGTGGAAGGAGTCCAAGTACGAGGTGGGCATCTTGTCTGCCAAAACCAGGCGCATCCGGATCATCAACACCCTGACTTCCCAGGAGCACCTGCTCGAGGTGAGTCCCATTTCACTCCTACCGCAGAAGCAAGGTGAAAAAAAGAACCCAACGCCTTGGGACTTCTCTCCTTTTTAGCATATCGTGCATGCTCTTTGTGATATTTTTTTATCCACTTGCTTAATTTATTCCCCACTTTTCTCCCCAGTGGGTACCCAAGGGGCTTACACTGTTCTGTTCTCTATTCTGTCCTCACAACCACCCTTTGAGGTAGGTGTGATGGACAGGCTCGGCTCCACCTCTCCCTAAGAGCAGCCAATAGGAGCTGGCAGAATGTTAGCGAGAGAGACAGTTGAAAAACGGCAGTTAGGAGAGTGGATGAGAGCAGTTGGGGAGAGTGTGTCTGGCCGAGTGAAGCTGTGGGGAAGAGTAGCTTAAAGCTGACTGGAAAGAGAAATCAGTTTGTAACAAAAGACCCCAAATGCTGGAATAGGGAAACAATTCAAAAGTTACATTGTCCTGTTCTCCCTTTTATCCTCGTAACAACCATCCTGTGAAGTAGGTTAGGCTGAGAGTGTGTGACTGGCCCAAAGTCACCCAGCAAGCTTCCATGGCAAAGTGGAGATTCGAACATGGGTGTCCCACATTGCAGTCTGACATTCTAGCCACCACACTGGCTCTCTGATAGAAGAAGTTCCATGTTGGTGCCACAGAGTGCAGTGTAAGGAAGGAATCTGACAACCCAGTTTTCTCCTCTGGGTTCCGCCAGTTTCTCACCTGCTTGCTGTCTGAAAGGTACTTTCTTAGTCCCTGCTGCCTAGGCATCTCCTCACGAGTTGCTAAAGTCTTGCTTATTTATTTATTTTACACCCCACCTTTCTCTCCTGTACCAAAGTGGCTTTCATTAGTTCTCCCGTCTTCCATTTTATCCTCACAACAACCCTCTGAGGTAGGGTTGGCAGAGAGTGTTATGGGCCCTGGTTCACCTTGGTGTAGACTTTGAGGGTTCAATAACGACACAACATAACAGATTTCTTGAAGCTTACTGACCAGGCTCTCTGTCAGCTCTCTCTCTGTACCAAAACTCTTTTCTCCCAGGGACTGTCAGCAGTGCTTTATTCAGAGCAGGCTCACACACATTTCTCCCCCCTTTCCCTGTCCAGTGAAAACGTTACAAACAGTAAAAAGACTCTAAGCTAGAAATCACTGTGTGTTTCACGCAGGGGTCATTTCGTAGAAAAAGAGCTAGGGGAACTCATTAGCATAACTCATTAGCATATGCCACACCCCCTGACATCACCGGAAGTGTGTCATAAGGCCACACCCCCTGACATCACCGGAAGTGTGTCATAAGGCTACACACCCCGCCCCCAGCGGTCCCGGCCGCCGAGGAAGCCCCGCGAAGGCCCTCCCTGGCCCCAGGCAGGCAGGGGCGGGGAGAGGCAGGGAGGAAGCAACTTACCCTCCCTCTTCTCCTGCCTCCTCCTGGCTGAATGAGGGCCGGAAGCGGGGCGGCCAAAAGCAGGGGGCGGGGCTTCGTCATGTGCCCCCCCGTACCTCACCCGGGGGAACTGCGATCCCCCGCGATCCCCCTCGAAATGACCTCTGGTTTCACAGAATGTTCTTTCTCATAGCTCATATTATCTTGCCCAAATGTTGCAAAGTTTGTGCTCTCAGTAATTCAGCAGACTCATGCAGACTCAGAAGACCTTGTGCATTTGCCAATCTCCCGGTGAGAACTTGAGAACTCCTGGGCTTGCCTCACGGGAGTCTTTCATTCCCACACCTTGGTTTGAGGGAACCAGTGAAAGTTGCCTCCTCCTTATGCCCATGAAGAATTTAGGTAGAACCTGAGTTGAAATGGAATTTGTGGGGTGAGGGGAGCCCTTTTGGAATGAATGTCAAGTTTTATCTTTCTAACTTGTCTGAAAGAAAATAATGTGGAGGTATCTCAACACAAAGCATTATTTCCAAGAAGTAGTTCGTTATCAATTAAGTAGTTCAGGTGGGTCGCTGTGTCGGTCTGAAGCAATAGAACAAAGTTGGAGAGTCCAGTGGCTCCTTGAAGACCAACAACGTTTAATTCCGGGCAGAAGGTTTCATGTGCATCTTGAAGAGGTGTGGTCTCTGAAGAAGTGTGCCTGCACACAAAATCTTATACCCAGAATTAAACATTGCTGGTCTTAAAGGTGCCACTGGACTCAAATTTTTGTGGCTATCGCTACATCCTGAAGAAAATCACACAGTGAAAAGAAAGGTTTGAAAAACTCAGGCCATCCTAAAAAGAAATTTTTAAATAGTAATCACCCTTGGTTTCCTGGTTATGCACAGTTGCTTTGGGAGCTAGTGATGTTCCTTATTGCCCCCTCTGATTTTCTGTGGAGGGCATCTCTTAGGCAAAGGCTAGGCAATCAGACATGGCTGCCTGCTCCCACTAAGTGGGAGCTGAAGAGCTTGACTTAGTACTGAGACGCTTTCAGCCTTTCTGCAGTTCCGTTTGTATTATGCACGGGATAGAGCAGGTCGAGAAAGAAGTCCTTTTCTCCCTTTCTCACAATACAAGAACTCGTGGGCACTCCATGAAATTGCTGAGCAGTCGGGTTAGAACAGATAGAAGGAAGTGCTTCTTCACCCAAAGAGTGATTAACACATGGAATTCACTGTCACAGGAAGTGGTGGCGGCTACAAGCATGGACGGCTTCGAGAGGGAATTGGATAAACATATGGATCAGAGGTCCATCAGTGGCTATTAGCCACAAGATTTAAATAGGAATTCTTGGTCTGGGGCAAGGGATGCTCTGTATTCTTGGTGCCTGGGGGGGGGGGGGGGGGGGGGAACAGTGGGAGGGCTCCTAGTGTCCCGGCCCCACTGCTGGACCTCCTGATGGCACCTGGTATTTGTGGCCACTGTGTGGCAGAGTGTTGGACTGGATGGGCCATTGGCCTGATCCAACACTGGCATCTCTTATGTTCTTATGTCTGCAGGTGTGCTCTGAAGAATCCATATGGGAGATCCTGCGACGGTACCTTCCCTTCAATGCCCACGCTGCCAGCTACACGTGGAAATACGAAGGCGTCAACCTGGACATGAACTGGAACCTGCAGCAGAACCGCATCCCGGATGAGGACGAGGAGTTCTATGAGCTTGGCATGGATGCCGACGCCTTCACCCCGGCCATCCTGCTCTACTTCAACGACGACCTCACTGAGTTTTAGGTAATCCCAAAGAGAACAGCAGGGGACAGTGGCCGACTGGGCCTGTAACACCCCCTTACGGCAGGGGTCCCAAACCTTTTTGAGCCTGTGGGCACGTCTGACAAAGGGTGTCGAGCACGTCAGGAGAAGACGCCAAGCACAAAATGGCTGCCAAAGGAAATGGAGGCAACTATGAAATGTCAGGGAGTGAGGTCATGCATACCCCTAATAGTAGCTCTTCTGTATTTCCAGTAGAAGCTTTGTTTAATAGGATGCTGTGGCATCCTTGCTTATAGGTGTTGGGTGTTACAAGTTAAAACACCCTTTTTGAGCCTGTGGGCACCTTTCAGATTCTGACAAAGGGTGGCAAGCACATCAGGAGAAGACGCCAAGCACAAAATGGCTGCCAAAGGAAATGGAGGCAACCCTAAAATGTCAGGGAGTGAGGTGGTCATGCATACCCCTAATAGTAGCTCTTGACCAAAGTGCCAAGTATTAGCATTTTATGGCTCTTTGTCCAGAGCAAGAAGAAGAAGCTTGTCTTTTCTCTCTTCTGCCATGTTCTGTCTAGCTGTAAGGATGTAGGCATATTAGCTCTTTGTTATTTTACATCCCGTGTACCTTTTCCCCAGGCTAGGTTGTAGTAAAGTTTTATATTTTAAACACACCATGGACTCTGACTCTTTAATACTCTGCTGATTTACTTTAAAATTAAAAAGAATAACCCAACAATAGGGGACACGGTTTTACCTTTAAAACACTCTTTGGCCCCGGTCACACGGGCAGGAAACTGCGGGGGGGAAGTGTGGCTGTTTGCACCGGGGCAAACTACCGCGCGGTTACTCGATCAGACCTCCCGTGGAGGTCCTGTGGAGGTTCCGTGGGAAGGGAGAGGTGCTGATCACAGGACAAGCCGGCATGCAACGAAGAAGTGCGCGGCGCGGCAAACTGGTTGTCTTTTTTTCTGTACACGACAAATGCGCATGCTCCGTTGGGTGCGTGTGCGCATCCACAGAGACTTGGGG